AAAAAGGTCAGGCACAAAGCCACGCTCCTACCTCGCAAAACTCACGGCTACTACACTTCTCTCACACTCACACACACTAGAAATCGGGTAGCATATATGTGGAAGAGATGGGCTTTTAGGTTAACACAATTAGAGGCCCAATAGGTAACAAGTTAGTGGGCTATCTACTAAAAAGCCTTTCAAGGTATCGGGTTGGGCCATGAGCAATTCTAACTAATTAGACTGCTTTCAATGGCCCAAATAAGGTTGTGGGTTCGGTCCGAACAATCGTGGTGTCGATATTCATTTCACTCATCAGCCGAAGCCTATGAAGTATAATTTCAACAAAACGGTTTAACATCATAACCCGGATTTATTGGGTATCAAAACCCAACAATATCAAATTCTCGTAAAATGTGATGTTGCTCAATGTTCAGCCCGTCTTGATTAAATATTCTCATGTCTTCTCAAATTTACTATGTATTTCTATTGTATATTTATTAAATTCTTCAGAATTATATGCATCTGTCACTCCCTTAAACCACGATAAGATCACAAGAACTTGATACTTCGTCTTCAAGTTGCCATATATATGATATATGTAGTAACCATGATGTGCATCAAGATAAAATATCTCTAACTCTATTTCTTATACTACCTCCCTGGCCGATACTAAAACAAAGTTCCAACGTCTTCCGTTATTTCCTTCAACTTTGTGAAAAATCAACTCAACAAGTCATCATTCTTGGAATTGACTATATCGAATGTAAGAGGATAAATTTAAATATTTGACTCCCGATATGTATTTTGCTTTCAAATATGTTCCATTTATGCAAATTAGGTATCTTGTAGAAAAGATAAATCCTCGAATGCAAGGTCCAAAATCCTTGAAGAAGTATTTGAAATGGTTGTCGACATGAGTCTCAATAAACAACGTCGAGCCATAATTAATTCCATTTTAGGTAATACAATGCTATTTCGGCATAACTTTCCTCAGATGAACCGTAGATTTAGTTATATTCTTGTTAATTACTGGCATTCATAGGTTTAAATCATTTGAACCGCATTCTTTAGCTTTCTACACCTTTTAATAACTCATAACCACCCTGAACTACCGACGAATGTCATGAATGATGTTTGCAGGCCTGTAAATTATCTTAGGGTCTTGAAACTTTTGCATTATACGTCTTCAAAAAACCACGATCTTGCTTGTAAGTGATCATTGAGATAAATACCCAAATAGCAAGTATGTTCGTGTACATAATGACGAAATACAAATTAATTAGTTGTGTTAAACTTTGTTGCATGCAAACGCCATTTGCAAATGTCATCTATAGAAGCAATTGTCTATGGAGTCTTACTTTATTTTTTCACTTCGAATTCTAAGTTATATTTCAATGCAATAATGTGCACAAATTCTTGAAGATCTTTCTTGATGTCAAACAATTGGCCGACTAGCAAATCTTCATCATCGAAAATCACATGTGACATGAGAAACAGATCATAAACTAGGTCTAACCTAAAAGTTCCACCCGACTTGTATCTACGTGTAGATGAAGCAATGAGATCCTCGTTTATAAATGAAGTTTCCATCACATTGCCTTGAACTATATCGGGGTTGTGTGTAGCATTTGTCTTTGAAATAACTACATCATCCTCTTGAGCAATATCTATCGTGTCCCAAAAATCATCCATGTTAAAGTTCACTTCATCATCTCTATCATGACCATTCTCATGAATATTCCTTCTCACAAGATTTACACAAAGAAGAGAATTATGCATTTGATTGAGGTCAATCAGCCACATCAATTTCATGTCTGAAATATAATTTATTGGTGGAATTGAAAACTGTGTATTATCATGAAAAAATTCAAACTTCATCTCGCATTCAGATGAATCAACGCTGAAGAGATTTTGTAAATCACGATATACATCAGTACGAGATGTATCCACAGATACATAAAGTTTAGCAACACTTTCTCCATTTACTATATCTATTTCCATGTCCATCGACCTGGTCATTTCTTACAAACTTACCAAAGTAACAAAGAGATAAGAGTGTCAAGTCCATATCTTCATTTCAACACAAAAATCGAAAAAATTAGTTATGGCTGCCAATTAATTGATCACCTCTTAACATACTGATAACGCCCGTTAAGAGTTCATCTTTTAAGAGACTGTTACTTAGCCCCGTTTGGTGCACATTTTTGGAAAAAAAATGCATTTTTATTGTTGATGTGATGAGGAATATGTGGTTGAAAAAGAAGGAAAAGTTATTGATGTGATGAAAAATATTATCTTATTGAAAAATGTGTGGTTGAGAATGAGTAAAAGAATGAGAATGAAAAAATTAATGTGGGTCAAACATGGCCTTAATTTACGGCCCATAATTGATCGATTTTTAAAAGGCATTACTGACCGTCTATTATGAATAGGTTGGTTAATAGATCATTGGCAACCAATCATTTGTTAACAAGTGATCAATTAATAAGCAGTCCATTTTTTAAAGCAATACATAATGCAAACCTCTTTCCAATAAATTTGTGCAAAAATTCTCTAAACTGTCCAATAATTTGTACCTATTTATCAAAACTCGCTAAAATAAGTCAACATAGCATTTAACAAATTATAAATGAAATCCAAACTAACGAAACGAATGAAAGTGAAAATGCTCTTCCTAATACTAATAACGGCTCATGAGATGCTCGAATTAAGTTTTGAAAATAAATATTAACAAATATAATAGAAATTAGTAAGAATTTAGTGTTGGAGGAGATGCAAGAGCCGTTGGTTTGTTTGGAATTTGAATTGGATTTACGGCGTTACATTCTTTTTGAAATTGGAAGGGTATTTATGTTTTTTTGCCTTTCACTTATTTTAATAATTTTTAAATCTCGACAATGGTACTTTGTAAAATAGGCATTTACAACGTAAATTTGTACATTTCATCGTCTGTTCCCATCACAACCATCTCATATTCTCATTGTCACCATCGTTGCTGCCGAAACAACCACCACTTCAACAAATTATATTACACCATTGAGATAGTATATTACAGTGCACCACCATTATCATCAGATATGCACCACCACCTCAAGCAAATACTATCATAGTTGCCCTAAATACCACCAACATAAACGACATCATCACACCAATTCACCTCCATATGACATTAGCGACCCCATCTCACCACCATAACAAATCGTCGCAAAAAGTCATCGTCACCAATCTGCATCATCTCTCACCGCCACAAGTTCACCAAATTTCCTCCCCTCTTTGTTAGTTCTATTTTTGTGCACATTGTTTTTTAACAAAAGTCATTATTCGTGGAATAAAAAATATATTGTAATTAAACACTGAAAAGTTTTTAAAGTTAATTTCCTCTTTTAAAATTATGAAAATAAAATGTGTATACGTCAATGGATTCGGTTCCTGGTTCTTGTCCAATTTACATTGGGCTATCCCGCCAATAAATGGTCTGACCCGATTCACATTCTTATTAACCCGGATCCTTCTTTGTCAAAATTCTAAAACCCTTACCCAAATTCCCTCCTTCACCGGAGCTCTGTACACAAAGAAAAATCCCCGCAGTTGATTCAGGGAGCACAGTTTCGTGAACAGTGGAATATAATCAAAGGAAAATCATAAAGAAAAATGGGGACATCAGTGCAAGTGAAGCCACTGTGTGGAGTGTACAATGAGAACCCACTTTCCTATTTAGTCTCAGTCGACGGCTTCAATTTCCTCATTGATTGCGGCTGGAACGACCACTTCGATACCTCCCTGCTTCAACCTCTTTCCAGGTTATACTTATGTACATTTTTGAGTAGTTTATTGCACATATGTTGCCATTGCTAATTCAAGGAAAATAAAATTTATACTGTGAAAGGCCGCCTTTAGAGAGAAAGGTTCTTTCCTCTCATGTGGTTTTAATTATATCCCATCGATTCAACACCTTGACTTGATATTGCACTACGAAATTTAAGCCGAAATGGTATCTTTATGATGAATTTTAATAATTGTTACTATTAGGATGAATTGTCTCGTCGTGTAGGGAGACTATATAATCTTTAGGCAGGTTGGTGCCTGGAAGCAGGGCCCTAACATAAAGACTTGAGTTGTGTATTTTATGAGTATGCTGTATTTATTTTATTCTCTGGCTCCCTGAATTCAGTAGGATTCAATGTCTGGATAGTTCTTGTATAGCAATACACTCTTATTACCACTTCTGATTTTCTATGCTGAGGAAGCTTGCAATTGTGATCAGGGTAGCTTCAACTGTGGATGCTGTCTTGCTATCACATCCCGACACACTTCATTTGGGCGCTTTACCTTATGCAATGAAGCAACTTGGACTATCTGCTCCGGTTTTTGCAACTGAACCTGTGTTCAGATTGGGCCTTCTGACCATGTACGATCAATATCTATCTAGGAAGGTGAAATTCTATTTTGGTAATTCTGTCTTTTCAACGAGTCTGCCTGATCTTCTTTTCACTTTCATTGACCTATTGCTACCAAAATGAGCAGCATAGTGGTCTGGGAGGACAACAACCTGCAGCCATCTGTAGCTGCCCATATGTTCTATTTGCGTGCTGAGTATGTTCTGGGAAACTGACTCAAAGCTTTTTTTTTGGGGGGGAGGGGGAGGGGGAGTATAACACCCTGCACCACGTCACATAGGCGCGAGTTGTTGAAGAAGTGTACAAGGATTTGAGTGGTTAAAACTTGGTAACTTGATGTTTTAGCTTTTACAAGCCCCCAACAAGTTTCATGCCAGCGGTTGGGACCCAGGTTGTTTCACAGAGGAGGCGGGGTAGCTGTACGCTCGTGTTTGTCACCTGATAAACATGACTCAAATAATTTTTCTTACAAATAAGTTTAGTTTGGTGACACACACACACACACACACACTCCTCTATCTTTGTAGAGGGGAAGATGTGGCATTGGCTTATAGCCTTACTTATAAAGAGAGTGAAAAAGGTACCCGGACTCATACTCTTTCTCTCCTCTAATTTAAAGTAAGATTATAAGCCGTCCCAAACATGCATTAAGTCTTAGATCCTGAAGTGAGATTGAATATTAAATAAAGCACACATCTGTACCAGTTTAGGATCCTATCCTGAGGCATGGCATGACTGAGATACTTATTAAAAATTTCCTGCTCCCCATCAGAAGTTCCTTGACTTTTGGGTGGTAGGTATATTGCAAAACAATTATTTGACCTGGCTTCTCTCTCCATCAACTGTTTAACTTATACATATGATTCAGTTTCTGAAATCAAAATTTTTGAACTTCCCTGCTAATGTCGCGCTGGAACTAAAGCAGAAAGTATAACTGAATTCGTGGTCATAATGTTCTGGGGAATTGTTTTTCTTACTCAATATGGCATTGATTTACATCGTTTCAGTTCTTGTTTTATTCAAGTGATTTGTCTTTGTATGCACAATTTCTTTTAGCTTCTGACTGCATTCGTTTCTCACAGCAAGTATCAGAATTCGATTTGTTTACACTGGACGATATTGATTCTGCATTCCAAAATATTACCAGATTGACCTACTCGCAGAATTACCATATTCCTGGTACGTTTTTCCTTTAGTTTCTTTTGGCATGACATTTGGACTTCAGAAATGTGAGACCTTGCCCCAGTTGGTATTTTTTAATTTGTTCTCAAGTTTTCAATTTACATATATTCTTTTGTGGTGAGTAAGGTGATAATCATTATTATGGTTTTGCTTTTCTTTCCTGTTTTACTTTTTTACATTGGCACACCCTGTTTTACTTTTTCTTTCTATCTTTGATGCACTTTAGCTGTGGAAAGAGATAATAACTCCACAGGCAAATTTACTAGTAGATTATGCTTCTTAGGTTAATTTGTTTATCATAGCCTAAGGATTAGGTTGATTTCTCGCTTAATACCCCTATTATCCAGTTTTCTTAGATCCCATTTGGTTCTGTTCTTGGTGTATCTGGCTTGAGTATATGCCTGATGCCTGATGGTCACCCTAACTCTTACTATCACTAAAGATGATATAGTTGTCCATTTTAGGTGAATACTGCGGAATTTATATTATATATAATCTTTTGTTCTGTGTCTTGTGCATTTCCTACACTTCGAACACTAGGTAAAGGAGAAGGAATAGTTATTGCTCCCCATGCTGCTGGTCATCTCTTAGGAGGTACAGTTTGGAGGATTACAAAAGATGGGGAAGATGTTATATATGCCGTTGACTTCAATCATCGTAAAGAAAGGTCTTCTTCTTCTTCTTAGACTGCAGATAAGTTTCTCAATTACACTACATTCATTTAGGGCGACAAAGCTAACTCACTGTTGTTTCTATCAGGCATTTGAATGGAACTGTTTTATTATCTTTTCCCCGCCCTGCAGTTTTAATTACAGACGCTTACAATGCTCTAAATAATCAACCATCAAGGCGTCAAAGGGACCAAGAATTTTTAGGTAATTATTTGTCATTTGCGAATGTGAATATTGGATTAGGAAAAATAATTTTCATTTTCATCTATTCTCTTTACAAAGTCATCCAGAAACACGAGTTATATGATTCACTGCATTTGATGCAGTACATTAAAAGAATATGTGAGTCTTACACAGACAATTTTCGATCCTTGTTCTTACGTATCATAGATGCCATACTGAAGACAGTGAGAGCAGATGGAAACGTATTGCTACCTGTGGATACTGCAGGTCGAGTGTTGGAGCTGATTTTAATACTCGAACAGGTTAGGTTGTCTTGGTTTTTATAAGAGTAACTTCCTGCAGTTGAGGTCATTTAGTAAGGCTCACTTCTAATGTAAATTGCAGTTCTGGGAACAGCACCAATTAATATATCCGATCTTCTTCCTTACATATGTTGCGTCGAGTACAATTGACTATGCCAAGAGTTTTCTTGAGTGGATGAGCGACTCAATAGCAAAATCCTTTGAGCACACACGCGACAATGCATTTCTGTTGAAGTAAGAAATAATTGTTTCCAGTTTAAAGTTATTTTTTCAAAAGTTTTCTGCTAGTATGTGACTGACAGCTTAGGAATGCTATAGAACATCATTGTGAAAGAAAAGTCATAAAATTGAAAATGGCCCTTTTGATTTCATTATGTGATGTCCTGCCTTTACCTAAGCCTGCACTTTTAAGGACATTGAATATTTTCTATATCTTATGCTTTCCTAAATATTTAGCCCTCAAAGTTATCAAGAATCCTCAGGAAAGTATTTACATGGCACTTTGCAGACATATCACACTTTTGATCAATAACAGCGAGCTTGAAAAAGTTACAGGCCCAAAGGTTAGATACCTGCTTACTTTGTGAAATAATCCTTGGATGACTTTGTTGGTTTGCTTATTTATAATGTTATTGACACCACATCTCTTTCAGATTGTATTAGCATCCATGGCAAGTTTAGAAGCTGGATTTTCTCATGATATATTTGTTGAATGGGCTGCCGATACAAAGAACCTTGTACTTTTTACTGAGAGAGGCCAGGTTTGTTTTGATTCTGATTTGTGGATCCAATATAGCAATTTAGTTGCATTAAGTCCTTAGTTTGATCATTGAAGTATCATCTTTGTAAAATAGATTGCCTTAACACGATCAGTATGATGCTGGGTACTCATGATTGTGTCCCTTTGACTTTTTGTGGTTCTGGAGAATGAGACACCATTAATATTTGGCATTGATTCTCAGTAGCTAATTTAAAGTAAATCTTTTTCTGTTCTTTCCTCATCTGCAACTAACACTTCATATTATTTTATAACTTACAATGAACTTTTCTCAGCATTCCTGAGTATTGTTTAAAAGTTTACTGGCATTCGATGGTTTAATCATCAATAATGAAGGTTTCACATTTTTATGATCTCTCTTAAGGAGTTTTTTGTTTCTTGTTATTTAGAAGTTCACTTTTTATTTCTTCCTGGAGTTGGATCTTGTTCTTCCCAAATGACTTTAGCTGTAGTTATCCACTACATTTTTGGAAATTTGTATTACTTACTTATTCTTCTTTTTTCAAAAATTTAAAAGATTATTTGTTTCAAACTTTCGAAGTTAAAGAAGTTAATGATTTTTTTTCCACCTACATGAATCACTTTCATATTTTTGTTTATCAAAATAAAAGTGAGAAAAAGAGAGAGAAAAGAAGTAGGTCTAGTAATTTATTTCTGGCTCTGCTATTAACATGTTTGATGTGCATCTGAAACTTCTTCACTTTGTAGTTTGCTACACTGGCACGAATGCTTCAGTCAGATCCTCCTCCTAGAGCTGTTAAAGTTACCATGTCAAAGAGAATTCCCTTGGTTGGAGAGGAGTTAGCTGCTTATGAAGAAGAACAAAATCGAAAAAGAGAGGAAGCTCTTAAAGCTACTCTGGTGAAAGAGGAGGAATCCAAAGCATCTCTTGGTGCTGAGCTTTCTGCAGGCGACCCAATGGTTGTTGATGCCAAAATCACACAACCTTCTTCAAATGGTATTCTTCCACTACTAACTATACCTTCTAATTTGCCAAATTATACTTATCTTCTCCGAAGCAGATATTACCTCTAGAAAAGACTTTAGCTCTACTCAGTTTCTTTAGAGAATTGACTTTGCGTCAAATCATTGACATCTAAAACTTGTAACGAGTGGATAAAAAAACCTACTAACTGGCAATAAAAGGAGTTAAAGGTGATTTCTCTGGTTATTCAAGTCTGAAACTATTGGAATAGATAGTACTGGAAAATGATCTGACATTTTATATTAGATATCAAAAAGTTGCTCTATTATCATTTATGATGAAAAATGAACCCCTCCACCACCCCCACCCAAAAAAAAAAAAAGAAAAATCCTTTTTTGGCAAATAGTTTATTCTAGAATCCTATGCACGATTGTATGCCTTGAATGCATACCTTGCCCTCCAGTTGTACTGTTGCATGGCATTGGCCATTGAAGGTACAGATTCTAATCCGAAATGGGGAGCTTCTTTTTTTTGTTCAATTTTGGGTCTTGAAAAACAGTAACTCGATGCTATGCCTGAGTTTCATATCCCCGTTGAGGATAATATCTTCTCCGTAATTTGGATTCTTGCAGCTGCTGGTTTGCAATTTGGTGCTTACAGGGATGTATTGATTGATGGATTTGTTCCGCCACCATCTAGTGCGGGCCCAATGTTCCCCTTCTATGAGACTTCTGCCGAATGGGATGATTTTGGTGAAATTATTAATCTGGAAGACTATACAAGGAACAATGAAGACATGGACCATTCATCCATTCCAGTGAGTTTCCATTTTTAAATATATGTCAAAGGTTCTAAAAGCATTAAAATGCGCATTAATACAATGTCAGGTGACTGGATCACCAGATTGATTTAGCTGTGGTATTACCCTTAATGATTATTTTAAAAAAAATTAAAAAACATTGAATTTGGAACCAGGAATACCCTTAAATGCAAAATATCTGGACTGTGCAGAGGGAAGGAAATGGAAATTGACAAAACTCTGAAGAAAAATTTGCATCAAGTTATTTATATGCATTTAATTAAGTAAACTTGTAAGAAGTATACAAATGAAGTAAAAAGGAAGAAGAAAAAAAAAGGGAAAAGAGAACTGGTTCGCCATTGTGGTTGCTAACTGTATATTAACTGTTTTCATTCCACGCCAAAGATGGCAGTCTTGTGCTAGAATACGTGTCAGACATTTGCATGAGACATAATGTGCCCATTTGGTTGAATTCTTAAAAAATTATCTTGCCATTTGACACTGGTTTCTGTAATCTAATACACTTACAAATACATGCATGAGCACGAGCATATCCCCAAAGCACTGAAAAAATATTCAGATCTTATGATGGTTGCTAACTGCTATGTATTTTACATCTTTTGTCTAGGCTGAAGATGACCTCAATGGGAAGCTTGATGAAGGATCTGCAAGTCTTATACTGGATACAACACCATCAAAAGTAGTATCTTCAGAGCAAACTGTACGTCCAACTCCTGCTCGTATTTTCTTGAAGGCCATCCGTTGCAAGCCCTGGCTGAAACTATTTTTAGTTTTGCTACTGTAAAATAAACATGATATACAGCTCTCTCTCCCTCTCTTCCATTTCTGCAGATGTGCATCCATTTCACATTTTACACTCTGCAAACGTGAAATGTCATTTTTAAGCTTATTTGCAATTTGCACCTTACAGCAACTTTAACTACCTAGTCAACAATTTTTACGTACTTTTACTCTTCCATGCAGGTCTATGTCAAGTGTTCATTGCTTTACATGGATTTTGAAGGCCGTTCTGATGGCCGATCGGTCAAATCAATTCTTGCCCATGTTTCGCCCTTAAAACTTGTAAGGACATTATCATGTGACTGTGATTTTGATATAATGAATTTGCATTATGTTATTCATTGTTAAGAAAATTAATATTATCTTCTTTACATAATATAAGCCCTACAGGAGTCATTACTTTTGCTTCCTACCACTCTCAGTTGTCAGCTTAGCGTGAACTATTGTACTGTCTCTAATAATACAATTGCAATTTCCATGCGCACACCCCCTGAGCAACAGTGTTAGATTCACTTCTCAAAATTTGAGATGAAAATCAACAGCTTTCCGATTCACATAATCTTCGTATGTGGAAATTTTTTAGATGTTACATATTACTAGTTGGCTTAGAGCATAAGAAATTGTAGAATAGTTCGAGAAAAGGAGAGAGCTTATATATTATTAATGTAATCTTGATCCAATCCAGACATTTATATCTTATAATTTAAATTTTATGTAGTTCTTTTGCCTTTTCAATTATGGAACTATGTTATATTTATGAGAATACCTTACAGTTTAATTTGTTCAATGTTTTGGGGTTGGAGGTTTTGGTGCATGGATCAGCAGAAGCCACTGAGCATTTGAAGCAACACTGTTTGAAAAATGTTTGTCAGCATGTATATACTCCTCAAATTGAAGAATCAATTGATGTCACTTCAGATTTGTGTGCTTATAAAGTAAGCATGCTTCACTTGTCCATCATGCACGCACAAAAACTCATCGATCCATTTGTTTAGAGATGTATCAATTGAGTTTGTAATTTACGACTGATTGTGTGTTTTTTTTCTTTCATATATATATAGGTTCAACTTTCTGAGAAATTAATGAGCAATGTTCTGTTTAAGAAGGTAAGCAGCTGCATATACCTAGTGTTAATCTGAGTTACTTCAAAATTTGAGGCAGTGACTTTTATGATAGATCTATTGCCCCCAAAAGTTCACTAAAACACCGTAATCAAGCTGTTGGATAATCTTGTTACCAATCAAACAGATGTATGCTTAACTTAGGATGTTATATTTTCTCTCTCAACCTCACTAAAATGCTGAAACTTGGGCATGCTCTTTTTCATTCTTGCATTGGCTGTTTTTCCACTCTGCATCTCTCTCTCGTGCATGGATACATTTTCATTCTGATTGCAGCTTGGAGATTATGAAATTGCCTGGGTTGATGCTGAAGTAGGGGAGACAGAAAATGGCACATTTTCTCTACTTCCTCTTTCAACTCCAACTCCAACTCCACCACATAAAACAGTACTGGTGGGTGATATAAAAATGGCAGATCTGAAGCAATATCTTGCAAGCAAAGGGGTCCAGGTATGGTAATTCTGATTTTCTCTGTTTCAAACAGATTTTTCTGGTTTTCTCCTTTATTTCTTGTGTATCACCATTTGAATGCTTCTCCATTTTATGATTGGGATGTATTTTGAGAAAGTTGCAAGCTTGGTCCCAACTGATTGTGGGAGAGAGAAGGGAATTTATCTCAAAACTTTCAAGTTTATGGTTGCACGCGACTTCTAAACCAACTTCTAAACCAACTCAGTCGGTTTAAGTTTTTAATCTATAACAGCATCAAATAATTTGAAATTTTTAATTATGGAGTACAGTTTTGTTTCCAAATTTTATGCCCCACCCAACATGAATCAAGTGGATTAATGCACTATCACACTTTTTTTCTGAGCTTTCCTTCAGGGAAGCTTGGGGTGTCATTGAGTTGTCTGTTGGTTAAATGCTTAACAGCATATGTTATCTACTCAGGTAGAATTTGCTGGCGGGGTCTTGCGCTGTGGAGAATATGTGACATTGCGCAAAGTAGGAGATTCCGTCCAAAAGGTTGGTGACTTCTAAACAAATTTGGGAGGCTGGTTTAAGTTTACCATTGTTCTTCGATACTAGCCATGATGAATAAAGTCCTTCGTAGTTTTCTTAACAAACAAATCTAAATCACTTATTGAAGGGTGGTAGTTCCGGTGTTCAGCAAATCATTCTTGAAGGCCCCTTATCGGAAGAATATTACAAAATACGGGACCATCTGTATGCACAATTTTATTCACTTTAGTCTAGATTTGCAGCTTCGTAACAATGCAATGCAGGTTAGCCTTTTCCTTTCTTATTTTATTTGGTGCGTTGTAATATTTCGCACGAGCCTTTTTTTTTCTAACTTTTTGTCTTTCTCAGTCAGATTCGTGAATGTCGTTTCACTCTAGCCGTTTTTCTCTTTGGAAAGTATAGTTTGAGACGGACTGATTTGTACTACTTTGTAAAAGAAATAAACGCTTACATTTTGTATTTGAATAGAATTAGAGTATAATTTATTTCCTGGATTTCGAGAAAGGGGAAAAGAAGAGTTTACACAGTTCTCTTGGGTCTAATCACCCAACAAGCAAAACTTCAAAAAATTGTTTGCTCTAATTCTTGTAGTGGAATTTTTTTTCGTTGGTTTATTGTTCATTTATTTTGCCTGCTACAAATTACTAAGTACTTGATAGTACTTGACAGTATTTGTGAACAAAAAGAAGTTAAAATTTTGTTTCTCGTACTGTTAAGCTGTGTCTAGTAGAAAGACGTTCTTAAAATTTTCACAGGTTTGGTACGTTGGATGGACATTAGAAAGACGGAAAATGTTGATATGCTATACATTCTACTAAGTACGTTTTAAAACGGTTTGGCAATTCCATGTGTTAATTGGTTTGAAGCAATTCACTCAACTAAGCTCGAGGTAGCAGTTTGTTTTCGATAATTATATAAACAACATAATTTATCTTAATTGGTAAGTTCCATCTTTGCTCATTTTCACACTTGTGGTTTCAACATTTTTTGATTGTATTTTTATTATCGTATCTTTTGTTAATTATTGCGACTTATCTCTAATAACGGCTTCGTTAAAAAAAAATAATAAAAATCCGTTGAGGGTAGGGCTGTTCGTGGGTCGGGTCGGTTCGGTTCTGAAGATATCCGA